AACCAGATTGGAGTGGATCAAATTGGTTGGACTTTTCGAGGAACTTGGAGACTTGGGATTGCACCAGTCTTTCAAGAGGCTTTGAGAGGTTAGAAAGAATTGAAATTGGACGGAAATCTTCGGGTGAGGATGGATTAGGCTTTTTATTTAAAGGAAGGACAATGGCTTTTTTCCAAGAGGTAGGGAATACTGAATTCTGAAGGGAGAAATTGTAGATAAAAAGGAGAGCTGGGAGGATTTCAGGTAGACATATTTTTATTAATTTGACAGGAATGCCGTCTGGCCCTATGGAATTGGTGTGGGATTTCATTACCGCGGTTAACAGGTCTGTCTGAGAAATGTCGGAAAAATAAAAGTTATTGTCGTTAAAGGATATCTCTGGAGCAAAGCCAGAAGAGGAAGGTAGAGAAGAGGTATTAGCGACAGATATAAAATAAGAGTTTAAATCATCGGAGGATACAGGATAGGCTGCGGTAGGGGATCTGGAAGGATTACCAATGGAGAGTTTACGAAGCAGTAGCCATTTCGATTTGATATCAGGAGCTGAGGAAAGGGTTTCATGGAAGTAGGAAGCTTTCGCACGCCGGATCCTTGTCTGTGCCAAGTTGCGAAGCACCCTGAACGCTTGGTAGTCATCTGCAAGCCTCGTACGTCTAAAACGTCTTCGGGCAGCGTCGCGCCTCTTCTGCAGATCTTTGATTTCTTGACACATCCTAGGAGCAGGCCGGTGACGAAAGGTAGAGGTTTTGAGGGAAGCATGGGTATTGAGAATATTGAGAAGATTGGTGGTAAGAATGTCAACCATGGAGTCGATGGAAGAGCAAGAATATATTCCATTCCAGTCTAGGGTTTCTAGGTCAGGTAATATTTTTTCTCGAGTAAGGGAATCTAGGTGACGGAAGGTGATAGTTCGAGGCTGGATTGAAGGAGTTTGGATATTATATGTTATTTGTATAAGATCGTGAGATGATAAGAATGATACTGGCAATTGAGAAGAGGAGAGGAGATTTTGTACAGAGTCCATAATGTAGAAGTCTAGCCAAGTGTCTGACCTGCTGGTGTGGTGAGTGGGGGAAAATGGAACTATGAAGAGGTGCAGAGAGAAAATTAGGTTTTCTAGATAGGATTTGTCATTGGAGTTAGAGAGGAAATTGGTATTGAGGTCACCAGAGATGATTATTCTGGGATATAGAGGAACGACATGCAAACATCGAAATTTCTAACGTGGACCACCAAGAGAAATCTTTTTTCAGTCCAATAAGCCAATAAGGTTTTGAGTTCTCCTGAGAGATCATCGTATACCATACAACCATAGTCGAAGTGGGGAAAAACAAGAGAGGAAACCAGTAGTTGAGGGTTTTGTATGGAAGTAGATAGCGTTGATGGTTGAATTGTTTTAGGGTAAAAATAGTACAACGGAAAATTTCGGAGATGTGTGGTTTCAAGGAGAGGATTTGATAAAAAAAAAATAAATAAATAAAAAAAAACACCAAGGTTTTTAAGGGAAGTTTGGAACGAAATAGGTGAGTTGATTAGGAGAAGATTGGGAGGTAGAGGACTGAATTTTATGAGTGCGGGAATAAGTGACTTACTCCTAACTAAATGGTAAGCCAGATTTTTTTTGATCTTTTTTTTGTTTCTTCACATATAACTTCTAAATGATGCATCGAAGCGAAAAATGTACTATATAAGAAGTTAAGGAATGCTAAATTTTGTGTTGAACGAGCACCTAAACTTAATAATTTGGTTAAGTAGAAGTAGAATACCACAGTCACCCAACGCTGAATTTTATCAAATTAATCAAAAACTGAGACAAATTACTATAAATGGCCCTGTATTTTGGAAATGAGTTCTCTAAGAGGAAAAATACATAGAATCAAAGTTTTAGAGGATTGATTTTGCGTCCACTGGGTACTAACATATTTAATGTAATGAAATGAAAATATTTTTACTATACTGGGCCTGTTGTCGATATAGAACAAGGTATAAAAGACTGTGTGACCATACATTTAATTAAATATTTACACACCTGGACGAAAAGAGCCCATCAACGAAAAGAGAAATATAGGAAAAATTCATCATCATAGACTAATTTTCTAATGCAATATAAAAAAAAATATTATCGTGACCAGCACTAGTGATTTCTGCCCTCTCTGGATGTTAGAAAAAAAATCCGAAAAAAGATAAAAAAAAAAAAATCTATTTAAAGAAAAGAGTTTTTGGGCCGTTATGAGATGGGAAGGCTTGTGCTCGTTTCACAGTTTGTTGCTATTGACTCCAAACTGAGTCTCGCAGGTGAAATACATGATGCAGGAAAATTTATTTAAAAAAAATTATCTTCCTCTATTCTTTCGAACAACCTTTTGTTCGAGCACAAGAAAATACGGGTTTTCTTCGGGACCAAGTTTTTACTCAGTCCCAATAGATTTGGACGCATTGCAACCTTCAGCAACTACAGTCTCCTTGAAGAATCCATGCGATTCATAAAACTGGTCACGATAATAATTTGTATATTTCTCATTAGGAAGTGTTGTTCATTTATTAAAATAGCTGCTGTTGGGAACGTTTTCATGGAATGATACTTATTATCATTCATGGAATGATACTTATTATTTGGTCTCCGATTTGATCGGAATCGAAAATTATTCTTTGTTTCTTAGAGAATTCATTTCCAAGCTGCAAGGCCATTTATAGTAATCTTTTTCAGATTTTGGCAATATCAGTAAAAATTAGCGCTTATTGACCGAGGTTATCGATCATATCACTTAATCAAATTATTAAGTTTAGGTACTCGTTCGACACACAATTTGACGTTCTTTAATTTCTTAAAGAATACGTTTTTCGCTTTGATCCACTGTTTATTAATAATGCACAAAAAAAAAAAAAAAAATTTAGATAATTCTGGAATTTTTGGCTGTAAAAAGTTTTGTCTTGGAGACCCGTGTTAGCGGTTTTTAGGTTTTTATGTTTAGGTTTTTACATTCTTAAACCCATATACAGAGTGCCTCGTAAGTAGAGCGAAATATTTAAAGGAGTGATAGCAACTCTTAATAAATACAAAATGTTTATGTAAACAATGGTTTGACTTTTAACAGGAAAGTAGACAATCAAGGTTTGTGACTTTTTATGTCAAGTTTTTTGTTGAATAGGAAGTGATAAAAAAAACTATTTAATTTAAGTAATTAATGATAGCTTAAATGTAAATTACTGTAAGTAAACATAGAGTTTGCTTTTGTAAAATCCATTTAAAGAGGACTTTTGAGCGACTAAACTAAGCTAAGGAGTGGGGGGAGATGGGTAGTGGTGCGGAAACTGGTAGAGGTGGAGGAAGCACGCGGCAGAGGTGCGCTCTCCCCCCCCCCTGAGAAAACTCCTGGATCCACCACTGTATATATAATAAATGTAGGAGTAATTACCTATGTATGTTGACGGGAAAATGAGGAAAATGAAAAACAAAATTTTAATGATTATAGACTATTGTTTTAGGAGGCGGAAAATATTCGAATATGCGTTGCAGATCTCTTCTTTGTCTACTTTGTGGTTTACCGGGTTATTTTTTTCCAAATGGATGAATATAGCTTCAGATAGTAGTCGTTTTTGGTGATTGAGAACTGTGGCAAATATGGTTGGGTTTTCAAAACGTGTGGTTGAGGGTTATGGAGTGTTCGACAATTTTCGAGGCGAACGGATTTCGTGTGGAGATGCTGTATTTATGTTGATATATCTGTTTTTTAAAATAGTTTTTGGTTTCTCCTATATAAGAAGAATTGCAGTTTGGGCTAGAGCATGTGATTTGGTATACAATATTTGATTGTTGTGGGAGCGGAACAGGGTCTTTGAGTTTGGTGTATAGGTTTCTTAATTTACTGTTATTTTTGAAAACTATTTGCAGAATGAGGAATTTTGGAGTTAAAGCATTTTTGATTTTTTGAGATAGAACTAGGATATATTGGCGAATCTTGGTGGGAGATTGAGAGCAGTTTGTGGGAGACTGTTGAAGATAAGGTTTGGATTGATTTTTAATTAGGTTTTTTTATAATGTGATCAGGAAAGGCGTTGGATTGCAGAATCTTGTGAAGTTTGGTTAGGTTATTGTCATGGAATTGCTCGTCGGTTAATATTAGACTGCGGTGTATGATAGATATGCGGTGTTTTTAGCTACACTGATTTTTTTGTGGTGAAGGTGTTGGGAAAAATAGTTTAGGAGACGGTCGGAGTTTGTAGGTTTGGTATACCAACTGGTGGATAAGGTATTATCATTATTTCTGGAAATGAGGAGATCAAGAAATGCAAGGGAAGTTCGATTTCCAGCAGGAAAATAGGGAATTAAATATTTGTGATTTTTTATGTAAGTCACGGTTTTGTTGAATAGGAAGTGATATTAAAAAAAAATATTTAATTTAAGTAATTAACAATTGCTTCACTGTAAACTAGACGAAATTTTCTTTAAATAAAAATAGAGTTTGCTTTTTTTAAAACCATTTAAACAGGAATATTGTTTATATTTTTACTTGACTTGTGATCACATTTGGTATATGAAGTGCATGCCTTGTATTTTAAAAAGAGAATATATTGTGATTGTTCAAGTACCTATTTGGCTCAGATTACTCAGAGACAAATATGAAACAATAAAAAAAAAATAGTTTCAAATTGGAGGGGGGCTTCAGCCCGAAATCTCCCTTTGTATCTGCAAGTGCTTATAAGAAACTATAATAGATTTGGTTTCAATTGGATCTTAAAATAAGTAATCTACAATATATATAGGATATTTTAATGAAGTTGAGCGAAAATTCGGTGGAGGATTGAGAGCTAGTCCAAAAAAAGATTGGAACCCACTATTAGGAAAATTCATATTCTTTATTGAATCTTTATATATTTACATTTTTTTTGTTCAGAAATACTTACTATGTATCACAGTTCATTCTATAGTTATTGGTTGTTATAGAACTATTTTAATGACTTGTTGGCAACATTGGGGATTTGAAAATTGACCGTTGTAGATTTCATATTATGGCGGTTTTTGGTGTTACGTAGGTTTTAATTTTAATTTTTTGAGGTGGTTTTCCAATTAATATTTTTTAATGGCTAGCTCGGTTTTTAAAATGATTCATTCTGAAAAAAGGAGTAAGATTAGGGATATGAACGACGTAAGAACTAGAGCCTCAAAGAGGTTAAAAGAATCCAGAAAATCCCAGAGGGATGCACTTCTCAACCTGCACCGACGTGTGGAAATTAAACCTGAAGGTAGATGGTTTAAAAGTGATTAAATCTTCATATTGAAATCTTTGTATTTGTAAGGTATGACTTGTGTACTGTATTTGACAAGTTCTATTTGTTAAATATATCTTTTAGTATTGGAATTCGCAGGGATACTGTTTTAGTGTTCAGAATTACTAGTTTTTATGTATTATAGTTGTTATGAAGTATGGAATGTTTTGGTCTAAGTTTAAAAATTAATTGATTTAGGTGATCATTATTACACTTAAAATATCTTGGAAATATTTCAGTATCTACGTTGCATACTCACTTGTCAATTTAAATTTGTAAACTATGACAAATAAATAAATCATCCAATAAACTAGTATGAATAGCATTTGAAGTCCTAAAACTGTATGAAACCATAAAACATCTAAATAACTACCAAAATTATGCATTTGCATTCCTCTACTAAAACAACTAAGAGTTACTAGCAACAAAAATTGTGTTCAGCATATAATTTTATCTAGTATGATGCAAAGTAATGAATTTTAGTCATAATCGTTATATTCTTGTAGATCTTTTGACCCATTGGGGGCAAAAGTTTCCGTCTTCTGTAGCATAAAAACTACTCACAAGGATAGGATACAATCTGTGGTTCACTGATTTGAACTAATTTTTTTTGGTGATACTACATTGAAAAATATTAGACACATGTCCTGGGTTTTTTTCCTATGAGCCCTGGGAGCCTTGAAAGAAAAATTGTATATAATTTTAAACAAAATTTATGTTTGGCTTTGCTCTGTCCGAATTTTTAGGTTACTATAGATCAATCATTTTATTTTTTTGTGTATAAAAATAAAAAGATATGAACTATTATATTAAATGAGTTAAAATGCATCATAAATTTCAAAAACCAATAGGCGCTTCCGGTAAAGTAGACCATGTAAAATGAAAATGCAAATTTGACTCCTTTTTAGGGTTCTTTAAAACTCTTCAGTATGAATTGTTATGTAAATAAAAATTACAACCTTTAGTACTTTATTTTCTTGGATGAATTTTTTTTCTATGTCAAATAAAGCATTCATAACTCAGAATTTTCTTCACATTCAGCTGTTATATTACGGTTGGAAAGCTAAATTAATACTTTTCCAACTGACACCAATAGTTTTTTTATTTCATTTTTTTTTAAGCTAGTAATTGGGAAAAACTTCTAACCCGTTTTTATTTTGTATCTTTTATATATCTTTTCATTTAATTTATTTTTAATGGTCAGATTTATACCTTTTCGTGTAGCACACTATGGCCCTAATCCCTTGTAATTTTCATGTAGATGGGTGAAGCCGTTCTAAAGTTATCACAAGATTTTTGAAGGATTCAGCCTTGGCAACCATTTGTATTGTCATACAAATTTGTATTTAAGGGTTTTTTGATGTGTGAAAAACAAATATCTACATTGTTTCTTCTTAAAAAATTATTCGATACCATATTGCCATGTCGGTTGGTCCAAATTTTGCCCATACTAGCTATCTGTCAAATATAATATTTATTAAAAAACAGTCTGGTATCTGGAGTAAATAATATAATTTTGAAATTTTTGATTTCCATTAAAAATCGTTTTTAAGAGTTTAAAAAAACACTAAAGACTTGCTTTTTCATAACAATAATTTATTTCACCTTCTTTACTGGAAGCACTTTTTGGTTTTTGTTAAATAACAAAATAATTATAAATATGAAATAAATAACATTAAATAAACAAATAACATTAAATAAATAAATAAACAAAAAAATAACTTCATAAATATGGAGCCTAACTCATTTAATTTAATGAAAAAGACTTTGTCTTCCTGTATGATTCTTTATTTTTCTCTCTTTGTGCAGCCGGTTTTGATCTTATATCAGACCTTCATCAGGCTAGGTAAAATAATAAAATTAACAACAATAAATTTTTTTTGCAAAGCAATCAAATAATAATAAAACCTAATTTAGAATTTAACAATTTAAAATCCAATCTTAATAAATTATTTAATAAATATGGTAATCATCTAACTTACGGTAGTCCTCCTCTCCTGCTTGTCAAATGAGGAACAAAAATAAAAATAAAACTATTGACCAGATTTCCTATCCCCAATTCCATATCTTGTTCTCATTGGCTACCACTAATTTTATGAGGCAGAATCCTCAATTGAGTACTTTGTATATTCAGGCATATTATGTCATTTTTCATAATTCTTTTCTTAATTCATAATTTTTCAAAAAATTCTAATCTTTTCCCTTTTGCAATGGTATGCAACAGTTTTATCTTATTACTTTTTTTTTGGGTGTGAACAATTTAAAAAATGATCTTTAAAATGTGATATATGGTCTGACCCAGGGAGATGTTCTTTAATTCTGCTTTTTAGTTTTTTTTTCGTCTGTCCAATATAAACGGCAGAACCCTATATTTCCAGGTGTATACCCTAACCTGGAAAAACCAGGCGGTTGAACGTGATATCGGTCAAATCATTCCTTACACAACCGTAGACCATGAAACAGTGTTCTCCCTAAATAGTGCTGAACCCAAGACCCTTCATGGGTTGTTGTGGTACAGGTTTTTTTGTTTTAAAATAGTGGAAATAAGAAGATATAAAAATGTTCATTATGATAAAAAAAAATGTATAAAGGGTGCATACAAATAAATATAAATGATCACGCTAATCTTTAATTTTAAGTAACACAGTGGCGTAGTGTTCAATGGCTCTTCTGAAAATTTACCTTAATTGGACACCTGACTTGCTCAGATAGCTTTCCAACTTTTGTTGCATATTCAATTCCAATTGGGATTCGAAAGATAAAGGTGCTGAACATATCTACATAAATAAAATAAAGATTTTGTCTGTACATTGAATAGAATCAACCCATTTTATGATATATTTCCGTTTCATGCATTGCAGACACCAAATCCATTTTTAAAAAAAAATTTTGTCTGTCTGTATGTCTGCATTGCAACGAAATTTTGTCAGGAGTAAGCTCAGCATTGGCTTATTGTAGGCTTTTGAAATTTTAACATTATATTAAGGTTTGCTTGATATTATTAATAATAAACATATGTTTATAAGTTATAGGAGGCGGGGTGGCCGAATGGGCTAAAGCGTGTGCACAGCACCGCGAGTTGCCTGGCAACCGGAGAACAAGATTTGAGATGATTTTAAAAAAAAGTACGAGTTCGCGTCCCTCACCCTCCGGCCCGGGAAAATCCCGTATAGCCTAAAAGGCGAGGCAGGGAAGAACAAAAAAAAAAAAAAAAAAAATGTTTATAAGTTATAAAACATCTATATAAATAAAATAAAGTTTGGTCTGTCTGGATGTCCCCATAGTCCAACGAAATATTTGTCAGGGGTAAGCTCAGCAATGCCTAATTTAATAGACTTTTGACATTACATGTAGGTGTGCTTGACCTAAGGTATAGGCTTTAAATGAAACCAAAATATGAGCAGAACCATAGTTACGAATTCTTGAGTAATTTGTCTAAAGATCCCGGTTATGCAGTTACTTCGATTCTAATCTCAACCTACTCTACCGCGAGCCACATTTAAAAGTTATACTATCATCTGATGGGAAAAAGTTATCACAACTCAGCAGAGTTTGAAGATGTGAAGAGACTACAACTCTTTCAGATTAATTAATCGACTCCACAATCTCCTCGCTATCATCCTAAATGAAAATTATACACTTGACAAATTTTAATGGATCGGTAGTGGTCGGTTTAGTTGTGTGGTACCTAAACAAATAGCTGAATAACAATGTTTTTTTTTATGACTATAGCGAAACCTTGACTTCCATAAGCCTCGCCATAAAAAATTTCAAAACAACTCCCCTCCTCCCTCGACCCAATTTTATGAAATGGAATTTGAATCCCCCCATAATACAAAATCCATCTCAAAGAAAGATTCTAAATTTTAACTATACACCCGTCAACTATGGGCACATCAGCTAGTCTTGTATATAATTAATTGATAATTTAATGATCCTATATAAAAATATAATAAGATAACTAAGTTGTTGAATGAAAAAATGTTGAACTATAATCTAATATAGACCAGCTAAGATTGCAATACTCCAAAGCAGATCATCAATTTCATGTATCAAACTCAATATTCAGTTAATTCATAATTATTATGAGAATATTGTCTGTTATGTGAAAATGATTAATAAGATCCAATTAGATTAAGTGATAAGGCTTTAAAGTTATATTAATGTCGATTTCTTTCCTTTTAATGGAAAAATGTACTTGTTTTCTTTCAATTTCTTATATATACAACTAGATGTTTATGTTTTTTGATATATTGGTTTGTTTTCTTGTATACGCACTTTATAGGGACTGAATGTGCTCCAGGAGGGTCTCCTGATCCTAGGGTCAATCCATATCTGGTGTAACAGAATAGATAATTACCTGCCACAGTCGGTCTTGAACTCTGGGTAGGGTGCAAAGGAATGTCTTACTCATTGAACTATTCCACTGCTTCTTGTTATTTATTGTAGTTTAATGGTTCCTAAACAAAATATAATCATAAAGGTGTTAATTTTATAATAGATATGTTAATTTTTACTCATTTTGGTTATGGGTTGTAGTTAGGATCCTTATCCTGTCCCCTTTCTATGAAAATATGAAGGGCATAAATAAATATTTGCAGAAATTGAATTAGAAAATTATTAGACATTTGTTAACAGCCTGTAGTCAAAAGTATAGCTTGAATATTTTTATTGCAGAAGAGAAATTTGGATTTTTAGGTGTTAATTGCACAATTTTATGTATTTCGGATTTTTACTGCACGATTTTGCACATTTTGAATTTTTTGCTGCACGTTTTCTGGATTTTTCCTGCACGAAAACCTGGTCTCTAGTTATGATGGTTCTCTGCCTTATTCTGCTCCCTTCGACTAACTATTTAATATTACTTTCTTACTTGACAGACTGACACTTTATAGTTAAAGTAGGCATTGAATTATTCAGCATAAAAGTTTAAGAGTAGGAGCTCCACAAGGCAGTGTACAGGGATCATTACTTTTTAACACTTTCACAGCAAAGCACTGCTCTCCTTCCATCACAAAAAAAAAAACTCCATAACTGCTTCTTTTTTCACACAAAACCATCTAGATGATATTTTTAATTGGGCTAAAACTGAACGGATTCAAAAGTATATTAATTGATTTTTCTCTAAAACAACATGCCCATAGGTAGATTGCAATAACAATATCTGGAGAAATGTTTTATACGGTACGTCACTTAGATAAAATAATGATGTGAAGAACTCATACTACACTGAACATATGATGTGGATTATTATGCAGGTTATTTGACAGATGCTACCACATTATCCTTAACCAGCAGACTTAATATCTACTTATAAAACCTTTATGAACTTAATAGAACAGAAATTCCAAAAATTCAAGTTTTCAATCAAAAGTTTTGAGAAAAATGGCAGACCAACAATTTTATGTAACAAATGACTTACTACACAAATACTTGGATATCCAAACGGTTTCAGATATTGCAACACAATATTATAAAAACTTTCACCAGAAACTAACTTATATCAACCCATTTTCACAAACAATTATTTCTGGCACAAATAGTTCCCACCCTGGAGACTTTTGAGGCGGTGGCCAAGAGATTTACCAACTTATTCCTGACATTTATGCATTGTGTACAGATTTGCTTATTGGAAAGCTATGAAGTTGGTGAATTTCAGTTTAAATATATATATATTTTTTAAATTTGTTTATGATAATTATTATCCTTATTCAAATGAGCTCAGATAACAATTTGAATGTCATTATTAATGATCATAACTGCAATATTCCTGGAGATGTAAAGTTTTCTGATTATTTGAAAAACTAATAAACAAATTTCTATGGATTCTCAGCAGATCAGTGATAACAAAGGTCACTTATATTTATTAATTCTAGTGTTTGCCCAGTGGTCAAAATTTGACCATTATCATCGAAAATTTGAGGGAAACATAACTAAACAAAAAATAAATTCAATAAAAAAAGAGTAAATCACAATTTAAAAATCCTCATTTATTAATAAAAACAAAATTTCAATCTCAATCAAAAATCAAGCTTAAACTACGAAAAAACTGGACATAACAATAATACTGCAATTTTTTCAAACATTTGACCCTGCGATTTGTTTATGGCCTAGCAAATGCAGCTATTACTGGGAATTGTGTTGTTTGAAATTCGGATGGAAGTATTGTCCCAGAAAATGTTAAATTAATTTTTGAAATCAAAATTCTTTTATTTACAGCAGTTCCCATTAATACTTCACTCTCATTCGTGTTCTGTTGGCTAAAGCTGGTGCAGTATTTAAGTTACGAATGAGCATAACTATAGAATTTACTTTAAACTTTAATTTATGATTTGGCATTTCACTAACTTTCGATGATATCATTTCTTCAAATAATAATCTCAATTACTTCAGTTAACGTAAATTTGTCGATTTATGGAAAACCAAAATAAAAGTAATCGTATTTGCAAAAGAAAAAGTATTAAATGTTTAAAACGCTCTGCACCAATTAGTCCAATTTAGATGATTATTTTTAATTTTGTAGGGAATTCAAGAAGCTTTAAAAAAATATGGTATTATCAATAAAAAATTGTGTACTTTTAGAGTTATTCCCAAATAAAATTCTGAATTTATCGTAAAAATTTATGCAGCTTGTTTTCGGGAAAGTATGTTATATACATAAATTATTTAGGTTTCAAAAGGAAAGACTTTAGCCAAGTTTCATTAAAATTTTTGCAGCCATTTTGGCGTTATAGTCTAAAGCGAATCACATTTTTCAACCACCATGTTAAAAGGAAAGGCCGGATGATAATGAAATGTATGCAAAAACACTCCTAAATCTGATTGCAGCATATTAAAATTTCAAAGAAATTGGTGATGAGCTTTTGGAGATTAGCTGCTTTGAACAAATTACCATCTATATTCTTATTTATATACACTATTTCATATTTTTATTTATTCAAAAGGAGGAAAAAAATCAATTGAATAATAAAGGAGAAAAAGGGGCTAAACCGTTTTTTGTTTGCCTATTTATATAATGATTTCACTGTGGGTATTTATATTTGTCGAGGAATTGTGTAGTTAATATAGTGATAAGAAGTTCTCGACAGAGCATGCTGAAATTAGGATAATATGACTCAGTGGATGAATGAAGAGACTACGATAGGATGACCTCAAGTGTCAGACAGATGAGCACCCAAATCACTCTTGGTCTGCGGACTAGGAGATAAACCTTAAGACTGTAGCATGGAAACCACAAACGGAGGGATGAATTGCCTGATTTTGTGGGAGGATGAAATATCAATGGAGGGATGAGTCTCCAGACTTAGTATATAGGAGTACAAGCGGATGGATGAGTATTCAGACTTTGTATGGAGACAGTAAAGGAGAAAAGGTTAAAGGAGCATAGTGAAATAAAGGCAGTTTGGTGTTGAACCAAAAAGCGTATATATATAATATACTGATCAAACTGCTGGGAAGGTCTGACATACAGCCTGTTGGGCTAGGAGGATCATCATTCCTTCTGGTAAAACATGGGTAACTAGAGTCGTACCAGACTATACTGGTTGTATAATTTTGATTTTTATTTGACAATTTTTTATGATTTATCCATTTTGTATTAATTCCAACAATGTGAGATGTTTAATTATTTCAAATAAACAATATAAAGTTACTTTAAAGGAAGAGATTTTGATAGCTACATAAATTTTTCATAGTGAATTTCATTAATAAGTGAAAGTACAGATCTATTTATTCTTCCTATATGGTATAGTGTATTTAGTTATTTCCATATTATATTACCATTTGTTCACTGACTGATTTACTGTGCGAATTATTTGCAGGGGCAACTAGTATTATGTGATTTTAATGTTGATTTCGATATTATATACAGTCTTTCTCCCTATTATATTAAAAGTTTTTAGTGTATGTCATATTTTATTTTATTTTAGTAATAGAAGTGTAGGAGGTTACAGGAGCTCTCCTATAAGCTCTGTAATTAGCACTAATTACACATGTGTTCATTTAATTACATATGTGTTGAGCTCCTGTTACCTAATACTCTCCTATTACAAAATAAAGATTTTAGATTAAAAATTTGTATGGAAGGATTTATTCATCTGGAGGTAGTAGTTTGACTTTACCTAGGTGACTAGTTATTTTTCAATCTACTAGACATTTCCTTGACTAAAATATATTAATTATTATGTTATATATATATAATATTATATTGTGATATCATTATAATTATTATGAAATAAAAAAGGAAGCACAATATAACAAATAATAAAATTATTAGAAATAAAAGGCTTAAATTATTGTTGGGCTTATATGAAGCTGGACTAGTTGAATATATATATATATATATATATTTATAATATGGTTACAAATTGGCAATAAGAATAATTATAATTATTAATAATATAAATTAGCAATAAGGCGCTATGTATAATATAGATTTTTAAGGAAATAAAAAAATTGTCTGAACTGTGGTTTTGTTCAGTTTATTTTATGTTGATAAGAAATAATACTATCTGAACTACAGAATATATGTAAATTAAAGTTATACAATTTGAGCAATGAGTATTGCAATTAAATGAACAGTTGTATAATTTGTAAAAGGAGTTTGGTCCGCCGTTTGACCTCCAAGTAATATTATGTTGAAATATATATATATATATATATAGAATAGAAGAATCAACTTTATTCTGGGACAAAGTCCCTTAAGAATAACAATTTTGTACATAAAAATGAACATTCCATCTGGCCAAAATACATATTACAATAAAAAAATAACTAAAAACTAAGTGATAACAGAAGTATTTACATTACAGAACGTGACTAGACATCTTTTCCATGTTCAAAAAAGAATGTATATTTATATACTAATGATAAATAGAGAAAAATGCAATTTTGTTACATGATAAATGGCTACCCAGCTTCTGATTGAATTATATATATATATATATTAATTGTGCTCTTGATATTGATTTTAAATTTTCCATATCTCTTTTAAATATTAATGCATATAGTTATTATTGTTTTCTCGGTACAGTAAAAATGAATTTTTTAGTTTGTTGTTATAAATATAATTTTTAGATCCTGAAATCTACAGCATATATAATACAGTAGTATAGATAACTTTTTCGGCTCTCAGAAGCGATGAATGAGGTATTGAACAAAAGAGAATTCCATGGTAAAGCGATGAATCATTATTTTAAAACCTAAAAATTTACTATAGTTGCAATAAAAGTCTTAGGAAAAATTAGGTTTAAAAAGTTGACTGATTTAAGCTGTATAACTTGTCACTAAATATTTGACCTAGTATTGTTCTTCGGAAATAAATATACTAGACCTTGGTTTTGAAAGGCGATTTAACGTTTTCAAGATAATACATTCACCTGAACTTATACTGGCGATTGTGGATCTTTATGCCATGGATTTATAATCATATAAAAATTAAAATATTTACTATTATTGCTCAAAAGTTTTTTTTTTTCGTTAATCATATCTTTGTTAATTCTTCATAAAATCCAATGGAATCAGCCTCTATTATGAAGGTTATGTTTTCCAGATAATACTCAAATCTTTTCAAACTTCTAGAAAAAGAAGTTGTTAAGAAAAAGCAACTTTATTTGCACATAATTCAAGTAGTATTCAATTCATGGTGGATTAGGCTACTGATTATTTACAAGGTTACTAATTTCACTGCCAAACAAAAAAAAAGGGGGGGGGGAGAAATCATCAAATTTTGGCCATTATTAGCGATGATACAGCTTATAGTAATTTTTTCACATTTTTTGTTTTATTGTTATGAATGAACTATTGTAATTAGTCTGAGAAAAAAAAAGTAATTTCTTCATTATGTTGTATTAATTTATTTCTAGATTATTCTGTCATTTGTTTCCCGATCATTATATCATGGAGATTATTCGCTAGGACCAACTAGTTTAACTTCTAACCCTGTTGTTTCAGTGGAAAGAAAGAAGACCCTACAGGAGGAAACATTGTTGCGTCTTAAATCTTACAGGGAAGAAAAATTAAAGCGAATGGAGGAACAGAAAAAAAGTCAAAAACCTCCATTTTATAGCTTAGTGAGGGTTCGGCATACAGGTAGTTATGTTTTCATTTTTTAATGAATTATTAATATGAATATTTTTGCACCTAGTAAACAATTAAGTTATCTTTCTACCATGTAATTACAGCACTATTTTTTTTTTTTTTTGGGTGTGTTGCGTTCCCTAGTTAAGGTAACGAACATACTTTTGTTTATGATACAATGTATATGGTCAGTTTATTGTAAAAAGTCTCAAAAAGTGAATTTTTGATATAGGTTAATTTTCAGAAATATTTTTCTGAATTTCAACTTTATTTATCTTACAAATAAATAAACTAAGTGTAATACAAAATACACTTTTGTGCATCACTGCAAAATTTTCTGATTTTGCAAAGATAAAATTCATCAAAGTTCTGAACTATTTGAGGTTATGATATGTCATTTAATGACTTTTTGCAATAAACCCACAAAATGTATGTTTAACACATTCAGCACCATATTCTAATCACACTTTTTTCGCTTTATTTTCTTTGTAAATATTCCTAAAACAGAACGTAAAGTAAAAATAATGATTTTTCCACTAGTCCATTTTGTGTAGAGAAATTATTAGTTATGTAAGATGATCAATGATCTTTGCCCCTGAATTAACATTATTTATTGACTTTTGTCTAGACATTAATTTAATCACATCTGGCACAAAAGCCAGGAACAACTCAAGTGGTATCAATTAATGAAATCACTTAAGAGGACTACTTAAAAAAAATTATGAAGAATGTGGCAAAATAAGTGGGAGCAAAAAGATTCCAAATTAAAGAAAATAAAAACCAACTGTTTGAAATAGGAAACTTCTTAGCTTTTCTCTAGGAAAAAAGAAATAGCTCTCTTCAGATTAAGGATTGGACATTGTGAGTTCTAACAAGCCTACATATTAAGAGGTTTGCACCTACCAACCTGTGAGAGTTGTAAGGCTCAAGGAACAGTCCAAAACATCATTCATGACTGCCATATATTTAAAACTGTAAGAAAAGAATTAGATACTGCACAAAGCATAAATGAAAACTTGAAAAACAGCAAAAAAATGTTGAAAAAAATTTGAATATTTAAAAATAATAAATCTCTACAACAGAGTGGAGAAAAAGGAGTTGCCAATGATCCTGCAGGGTAGAGGCAACAGAAAAAAAATAATAAAGTTTCATTTACATAAACAAGAGAAGATCTATTATTGTAGTCAAAGCAGTTATTATTATCATTAGGTGTTCTTGAGTGTAATATTATAAGTTCATTTAAAGTTTTTCACCAGGAGTTATGTGATATTTTGATGAACCCAAAATGTTTTCTAGAGCAATTTCTAAGAAAAAAAAGATCTTTCATTTTGTGACAAAAACATATTTTTACTTTCACTTACCTATATATGTAATATATAGTAAAAGTAAGTATTGTGGTCGTGAAAATTTTTTTATCTGAGTTTTCAACGGAAATTCATGTTTTGAGGTCCCCTGAGTCCAAATAACCAAGTCCTGCAAAATGGTCTGTGTGTGTGTATGTATGTGAACAGCCTAGCTTAAAAACAAAGCTGTATGAAACTGAAATTGTGTATTTGTGGTTTTTATAATCCTTGGATGCTACAACAACATTTTCGTCAAAATCGGCAAACCGGAAGTGGTATTTTATATATTCGATTTAACACATTTTTACAATTTTCTCAAAAATGGCTCTAACGATTTTGATTAAACTCAGTATATCTCAGTATATTATTAAGCAGTTTTCAATATAATGTAGGTTTTATTCTCATTGATGTTCTCTAATAGGGCTTAAATGGCTAATTTTCAATATTAGCTTTCTCTAAAGTACCTTTAATTTTTTTTATTTGAACTAATTAACTAATTTTTTTATACAAAAAATAGTTAATATAAAATATGAAAGAATTCGATTATTAACTAAAGGAGATATAATAGATCATAATGGATAATAATTGGTAATTGGTTGACTGTCGTGGAAAATGAAGAGAAGAATAGTTGGGGTGTTCAGTCAAAAAGGAAGGCAAAAATAAATGATAATATTTATTTTTTACATATGCCGACGAAACGTTCTTCCTTTTTGACTGAACACCCCAACTATTCTTCTCTTCATAATGGATAATAATTGTAATGGAAGAACCAAAGGAATATGATACAAGCGTGTCCGAGCTCACTCGAAAGAGTACATACGTACATAGCTTAATATAATACGGACTCACCAATATTATATACATATGCGGTTTTCATAAATACTATCGTTGGTATTATTTAATATTTAATTGTATAGAATATAGCGATATAAAAATTAAAATTTGTCTATGTAAGGGTATTTAAACAAATAAAAATAACTAAAATGAAACTTAAATAAATATATTGTCTATAATTTTTACTTTCACTTTCCCTTTGTCTGAAAATACTTATTTCTGCTAAGAAGAGGGTGGTAAGTGAAAGTCGTGTGATGCATGCTCTTGTTTTTCTCTTCTCTCACTATCTCCTGTGTGCTGCTAAGCTTAGCGTAGCTGCCTCTGACCATCTTGTCCAACTGTCCCTGTCCTGTGCAAGCCTTCTCATCTCTGGCATGGTGCTTCCTCTCGCTTTGCCAATTCTATCAATCAAGTCTGCATACATAAGCCTTGCTTGGCCTGCCTTGAGGTCACTTTCCTCCCGGTCTTGCTTCTAGACTAGAAGCCACCTGGCCTTACTGTTACCTCACATTCTGTTAACATGCCTGTACCTCTTCAACTGCCTTTCTTCAATCATCTCTAGGACGGATCTAACTCCTACCTAGTTCATCTTGCACACTTTCATTCCTTATTCGATCTCACTTGGTTTTTCCTAATATTTTCCATAGGAATCTCATTTCTGCAGATACAACGTTGCTGGTATGGCGGTCCAAGAGTGTCCATCTTTCTGATCCGTATAGTAGCTCTGGGAGAAAAATTGATTTGAATAGCAGAATTTTTGCTTTCTGTTCAACTCTTGCTTTCCAATGAGTATCATGGGTAGTATATATGAATACTATATGGATAGTATATTCCATTTGGTAGTATATTCCATTGGCCTTTTGGACGCTTTCTTCTTTAGACTTTCTATTCTAACCTCCTGGTATATTCTTCCATCCTTGCCGATCATTGTTCCCAGGTAGTTGTAGGTATCGATTTGCTCAAGGGTCTCTTCATTGCAAGTGATTCACTGGGGTCAATACTGGGTTCATATTCCAGTATCCCACTATTGCTCTGGGTGTCCTCCTTTTACAAAATTTCCAAATGGCATCCATGAAAATTATGAACAATAGAAGGCTCAGGCTATCGCCCTGTTTAACTCCCCTAAAGAAATGGAATGACTTGGACTCAGCGCCGGCTAGCCTTATTATTCCCCTTGTGTCTTGGTAAACTAACTTGATTGCACTTATAAGATTTTGTGGGATTCTCCTATCTTCCAATGCATCCCATATTTCCTGTCTAGGAACATGGTTGAAAGCTGCCCGTAAATCTAGAAAAGCTAGATATACTGCTTTTATCTCTTATCTCATGCCTTCTCTACAATCATTCTTAGGGAGAAGATATGATCTTGTCTGCCTAGCGGGTCTAAAACTTGCCTATTCCTCTTCCAGATCTTCTTCCACCAGTTTCCTTAATCTTTGTTCCAGGATTCTAGTGTATACTTTGTATACTACCGATGATAGACATATGGGGCAGTAATTATTGCATTCACTTTGGCTTCCCTTCTTATGGATTGGGATAATGATGTTGTTTTCCCATTCTATGGGTATCCCTTTGAGATCCCAAAACTTTTGGAATAGTGTTTAGAGACACCTGACTAGCTCATTTCCTCCATATTTTATAAATTCGGGTGGAATCTCATCTGACCCAGCTGATTTTCCCATCTTTATGTTAGCAATGGTTGCTTCGACTTCCTCATCTTCTACGACAATCTCGAAACTTTTGCCGCCTTTCTTCCATTCTGAATTTTTCTTGAAAGTATTTCCTCCAAACTTCCTATATTTCCTTGTCTTCTGTCACCAGTATGCCACGCTCATCCTTTACACTTCTCACAGGCTTTTCTTTTTTGTTCCTTAGTGCTCTTGTGATGTGCCAGAATTTCCTTATATTTTCTTTATAGTTTTTATCTAGTTCCAGCCCGAATTTCTTCCAAGATTTTCTCTTCTCTTACTTCACCATTCTCTTAAACTGGTTCCTTTTCTCTATGTACAATGCCCAATCTCCTGGTGACTTGCTTCTACAGTACTGTTTCCAGGCCTCTTTCTTTGCAGATATGACTTATTTCATATCCTCGCTCCACCACATAGTTTGGAGTATTAAGTAGAATGTGACCATGCTTAAGATGGCAAGATAATATGAAAAAATGTTAAAAGGAATGGGATTGACAAAGGATGAAGGATGCCCAGACCCATATAGGGCTGTAGTGCCTGATAGTACAGTAATTATTTTATGAGAAGGAGTTAGTCGAGGGTGTGGTCAAATAAATAATAAATTAAAATATATTAATTATTTTATTTTTTTAATTTTAGTAATTATTTTATTTTAATTAGTCTCTCATTTCGTCATAAAGCATTAATCACATGAAAAATTTCACTTATCATTTAATTCAGAACGGGCAAAGGTGTAATGATGAATAATCAGTTGTTACCTTTTTCATATCACTTGTCTTTTATTGAATTTGTCGCATTGGTCTTATGGTACTCATGTGTTAAATAAAAATTGTGTTTTTCTTATTTATTTTTTGTCTATTGTATCTTTAGAAGTAATAATTTGTATTTATAGGAGGAACTCCATTTAAAACTAAACAACAGGCTATTAAAAATCTTGCTGTAACTCTTCCTCCTGCTACTAGGTCAAGAACTGCTTTTCAAAAGGAAGTAGGTTTTTATTATTATATTAATTCTTTACATTTTAAAAAAAATTCTATTCTTTATTATTTTACTATATATTTACGATATATATATTATATATATATATATAATATATATATATATATATATATATATATATATTTTTTTTTTTTTTTTTTTACAACTATGTTGCAACTCATCAAGCAAATGTGTTGTCATTGTTATCAAGCAAAATTCTTCGATGTTCTTAATAAATGTTAATTTTTATATTGAGTTATTAATATGCAGTAGATTTCTGGACCACTGGTTTTTTAGTCTTCGTTCAGGCTGACCGGGTAACTGAGCAGAAGAAAGAGATAGCACAAGCGGATGGCATATTTTGATTATTATTCTTGCTAGTTGGGATGAAAGATACAATGGTTCAGTTGCCATCCAGACTGTAATGCCTGATTTAATGTTATGCACGTTACTCTAAATGAGCATATTGCTCCAAAAAAGATATAAAGTAATTAGGATATAAATGAAAACTCAAACCATAAAGCCTTGAATCTCTAACATACAGGTAAACAGTTAACTTGGCTATTACAGTATGATTTTGGAGGCTTGGTGAGATGTCTCTAGTACATATCATTTTTTCTTCTTCATTTTGTGTATAAAACATGTCCACAAAGAGATTAAACTGATGATATCTAAAAAAGTACATTTGACAATTAATGTAATAATTGTATATTTCAATCAAACATTTGGAAAGGTTTACATGGGTAAAGAAGAAATGAGCAGAGAAATACAGCTTTTAACATAAGTTCAGCTGTAATATAACTATTGGATATAATGATGTTCCTATCATTTATCTGGGTAAGATGTATAACAGATATGTAGTAAAACACTACGGTGAATCGTTTGCAAGTTAATCTGTATAGTTCAGGATCTAACAAAGAATTATCCACATGATCTGTGGCAGAAATTTGAAAATTGAAAACAGAGATGACAATCCTATTGCAAAAAGCCCTTCATTCAGAAGACTAATTGGAAGTGTTTGTTGCTATGGTTGAATTTCAAAAAGTTAAAAAAGTACCAACAATTATGTAATCAGCTGCAGGAAAAAACCGACTGGAATAGTTCCAGACAACTTAGTTAAAAAATATTTAAACACTTTATTCAGAAATATTACAATTTGTCACAGTTAAGGACACTTATAATAGAGTTCAGAGATTGCATTCATACCGTATATACAAAAATATAAATAAATAAAGTAATAACAAAAGAATAAGAAGAAAGAACAAAAGAGTAAAGAAAAAAAAAAATATATATACACATAAGTAAATAAAAATAGAAATAAAAGTAAAACAAACACCTTATATAAAACATACATTATTTACAATTTGCCAGGTGATCTCCGGACCAATCCTGTCCCCTCCACATGTGGAGGGAAAAGGGAGGCCTAGGAGATCCCTACGCTTCTCCCTCAGCCACTTCACTGGTATTTTAAACCAGCGGAGGATGAGTAAGAGCGCTACAGCCACAGACACTCATGACTTGAGTGGAGAATCTGGCCATTGCTAGAACTCCAAAATATCCATATTTACAAAAGGTCTCGTGGCCACTGCCGCTTTAACCTACGAAGGGGATTGTAGGGATGGGTGGTGCTTGATAGGGATTGTACAACGGGATTTGGGTGATGAGAAAGGTTCTGGTGAAATTTGGAAAATTTGGCTGGGATAAGATCAAGAATAAATGGGATATTAAGGTCATGATGTAGGGTTTTATTGGTTACATAGAAGGGAGCATTGACTATTGTACGGAGGACTTTAGACTGAAAGGATTGAATGCGTTTGATGTTAGAAAATTTGGCTGTTCCCCATAGTTGTAGTCCGTAAGTCCAGATGGGTTTCAGTATTGTCTTGTAGATCAGTAATTTGTTTTCACCAGAAAGTTTAGATTTTCTATTCAGTAGTCTATATAGCTGGCCATATCGTCTGTTAAGTTCCTGTCTTTTAAGTCGAGTATGTGGATTCCATGTTAGTCGTCTGTCTAAGAGAAAGCCAAGATACCGGACTGTATCTGAGAAAGGAAGCTGGATGGAGTTAAAATAAACTGGTGGGCAGGTATTACGCCGAAGGGTGAAGGTAATGTGTTTACATTTAGATTCGTTTACCTTAATGCGCCATTTCTTACACCAGTGTTCAATCAGGAAGAGGTGCCTTTGTAAGTTTGCGGACGCTGTTTCAGGATCTGAGTTGGAAGAAAGGATAGCAGTGTCATCAGCGAAAGTTGCCAGGAGGGTATCGGGATGGACAGGAATATCAGCGGTAAAGAGAATGTAAAGGATGGGGCCCAAGACGCTGCCTTGAGGAACGCCAGCCTCAATTGAGTAACAGTCGGAGAATTCGGTGCCACAGCGAACTCGGAAGGAGCGGTCGGAAAGATAGGATCGGAGTACTAGGTATAAGGACTGTGGTAGATGGATTTTAAGCTTGAAGAGTAATCCGGCGTGCCATACCCGGTCAAAAGCTTGCGCTATGTCCAGAAATGCACCCGAGCAATACTGCTTGCTTTCTAGGGTTGAGGATATATGGTCAACAACTCGGAGTCCTTGCTGGACAGTGGAATGTTGGGAACGAAATCCGAATTGATGAGTAGGAAGGTTATAGGATTCAATCATAGGTAGGATTCGTTTCAGTAGGATCTTTTCAAAAATTTTTGAGAGGATTGGGAGTAGGCTAATTGGTCTATAGGATGCTGTATTGTTGGAAGGTTTGCCTGGTTTCAAGAAGAGGACGATGGTGGAATGTTTCCATAAAAGAGGGAAGTGGGTAGTTCGTAGGATGCAATTGTATATATATGTAAGAAATGTGATGGCTTTAGATGGAAGTTGTCGAAGGATCTGTGGGGTTAGAAGGTCATATCCAGGAGATTTGCGAGGTGTGATTTTCCGTAAAAGGTATTTGACCTCAGAGGGATTAACAGCTTTAGGTGGTAAGGAGAGTGGGATAGGTATTGAGAGGGATTCTTCTACTTTTACTGTGTGGCTGGGATGGGATTCTGGATGAGGAGCGAAAGTATAGGAAAGGTGTTTGGCAAATTCCTCGGCTTTATCTTCATCAGATGCTGCCCAGGAGCCATCATCTCGTCGAAGAGGGTGGGAAATATGATGGGATTTGAGGATTTTTCTGGTGATATTCCAAAGGGAATTATCATGAGCAGAGAGTGTGGTGAGGTAGGAATTGAATGATTGGGATCTGAAGGTGGCTAATTCTTTTTTTAATTTTTTACAGTGATAATTGTAGGAGTGGCGGTCAGCTGGATGTCTGGTACGTTGCCATAATAATCTGGCACGGCGTTTTATGTGGATTAGGTCAAGGAGGTGTTGAGGTAAATTATGTTTCTTAAGGATTTTTGAGGAGTGATCAGGGGAGGAAGCAGTCCAGACTGCTTCTTGAATTTTGGTAGTGAAGGAATGTACTGCATTGTCCAGGTCTTCAGAGGTTTTCAGGGTTACTCTGAGGTCAATTTTATCGGAGAGGATTTGATGAAAGAGTTTCCAGTTAACTGGGCCTCTGATGAAGGACGGAGGAGAGGGTTTAGGAATAGGAGCTAGTGATACTTGGAGTATTAATGGGCTGTGGTCTGAGGAAAGCTCGTCAAGACGGGCAACGGAATGGTTGAGAGCACCTAAACCATTATGGATAAAGAAATCGAGGATATCGGGATTACGGTTAGGATCAGTGGGCCAGTAGGTAGGTGAGTTGGGTGGAAGAAGGGTAAAATTTTGGGAATTGAGTACAGACAGCAATGTTCGACCACGAGAATTCGTGGTTCTTGAACCCCATTGTTGATGCTTGGCGTTTAAGTCTGCACCCAAGATGAAATGATGTCCTAAGGAAATGAGGAAGGAACTAAATTGGATATTGGAGATGGATTGGTTTGGAGGGCAATACGCTGATGCAACGGTAATAGGAAAGGAGAAGGTTTTGATTACGACTGCGGTGGATTGTAGGAAATCGTGTGTAGGCAGTGGGAGTAGGCCAGACAACTTAGTAGGTGACAGATTTAATAAAGTTCGACAAAATTTTAGAATCTTCATACATATGAACTTGATACCTTTCAAATTCTCAAAAAGTGCCTAACATTACGTGATCAGAAGCAGCCAAAAAACCGGTTAAAATATTTTCAAAACACAGTAATTTTATTGTTACTAATTTGAAAAAAGTGCCAAAAATTATGTGATCAGCAGCAGGCCAAAAAAGGTTTGAATAGTTTTAGACCACTTAGTAGGTAATTAGTTTTAGAAAATCTGACAATATTTTGAAAGCTTTTCACAAATCTGAGAAGCAAATGGTTTCAGTCAATATTGTAGTTATCTGATTTAATTAAATCTGACCAATATTTGGAAGCTTTTCGAGAATGTGGCACTAATTATGTGCAGGGCAGCAATGCAAAAAATTGGAAGCCTTTAGTCCAAGAGCTTTCCTTATTGCCTCTTTCAATCTATCTATTAAGTTTATGAAAAATGTTGGTCAACCTAATAAACAAATGTGCAGCAAATCCCTAATTAATGACACACAAAAACCATGTTATTATTTAACCATTAATCATTCTATATGTTAAGAAAATTAATTTGTTTTAATATTTCATAAAATGTTAGTTATCTATTTATATATACTAGTGTTCGCCCAGTCTATTTATACAGACTATTGGTCGAAATTTGATGATAGCAATTAAAAGTTTGAGGAAAACATAGTTAAATAAAAAATAAATTCAATAAATAAAAAGTAAATCACTATTCAAAAACCCTCATTTATTAATATAAACAAAATTTCAATTTAAATTAAAAATCGAGCTTAAACTATTTAAAATTATTTATAAGTAATACAAAATAGACTCATTCAAAATATTTAATTTCCATTTTAATTTATGTTTGTTATTAACACAATAAATTAATGTTATGATTAAGCAAGTAAAAAATAAATTTAAATTGAGTTTAAATCCATTTTTATGCAGAACTTCTCTGTAAACAATGTTCTATT